TTTTTTTTTTTTTTTTGGTACCAGGGATCAAACTCAGGTCCCTGTGCTTGCGAGGCAGGCAGTGAGACCACTGAACCAAATCCCCGGCCCAGCAACTCAAGTCTTGATCCACAGTCATTATGCACTAAATGTGATGCGTCTGTTTCCTCTAAAGGTGAAAACAGCATTCCACAGTAATTTTATAAAATTAGTTATCCAAAACCCAGGGGATTGGAGACTAGGTAATGCCAGGGGGTGGGAAAGAGAAGAGGGAAAATAAAAAGTTCTGTTATTTTTTAATTCCTCTACTCTGTGGTATGGGAAGGAGGACATAAAAGGACAGCAAAGGATCCTAATGATGGTAAGGGTATGTTATCTATTTAAAAGGAGATAATAGGGAAAACTGGGTATAGAATTGGTAGTGAGAAATGGGGATGGGAAAAATGCTATGACTGATATAAATATTAGAGAAAAAGTTAAAGGGAGACAGATGAAAAAGACAGGAAAGAAAAGAAAAATTGAGAGTGAATAATACATAGGAGAAAGAAGTCAGGTAAAGAGATGTGGATAATAGTAAGAGGATCTAAAAGAATTCCCTTACCCTCTCTGATTTACACTGGGAGAAAAAAGGCAAGAAGAAGTGAAGCATGCATAAACAGCCATGCTCATAAAAGAAAAAAGGGTAAAAATAATGGAATAAATGTATGGGGGAAATGCACAATTGGAGAAAAATACAAAATAATTAAAAATAAAAAAGCAAAACAAAACAAAACAAAAATAAACCCAGTAAAGGATAATTAAAAGAAAGTTTTCTATTTTTTGGATGTGTGGCTTTTTTTGTCAGCGTAGAGTTAAGGAGCAGACTCAAGCCAGGATATGTCTGTGTTCATGCTAGAAGTCTGAGGCTGCAGTGTGCCCCAGAACAGTGTTGAGTGTAGAGATATGCTTATAGTGAAAACATGGCACCAGTGTGATCTTCCAGTCCTGTATAAGTCAGGCTGAACCTGGCCTCTGACTGCAGGAGCTGGGCCTGTGTTCACCAGCCCCTGCGTCTCAGCAGAACTCCCTCAGTTTATTCCCCAGTCTGCCGTGACTGTCCTTCCCTCATCCACTCTCGGAACTTGGCAGTGTCAAACATCCAAAGGGCTGCTCTGGACCCAAGTTCAAACACTCAGCCCTTCCCTACATTGGCATCCCTGCCAGCTCTTGCTCCACGATTGTGGTCTCAGGCACTTGTACCAAGGTCATCAACTGTTGACTGTGGAAGACTGCTCTGGAAGCAGTGTCCCACATTTTCCTTGCCACTTCCAATTACAGATAATTCTTTTGGTTCCAGTGCAGTTCTTCAGTTCTCCATGGACAAAAATTGTTTTACTTTTCCTCCCAGCTGGCACTGAGCCAGCCACTATCTGCAGCACTGTGCAGTCTCTCCTTTGTGATATGATCTATTTCTTCTGAATCACTTAGTCCTATTTTCTTCTCTTCTGTCAGTTCCCTCGTGGATCCCAGGTAACCTCTGCTCACTTCAATTCTTCTCCAAGATATTGTTTTCTAGACTCTAGACACTTTGTCCTGGAGAAGCTGAGTTGCTGGCACTCACTGCTCCACCATTTTGGGGCTCGTCCACCAAGAATTTATAGCTATCAATGGTCTAACAAAGTCACCTGGGAAACTAGATGGAAACTTTCTGGTCTTGATTTTCTTATATTCTTCTTCTCCTTCTTCTTCTTCTTCTCCTCCCCTCCCCCTCTTTCTCATCCTCCTTCTCCTCCTCCTTTCCTTCTCCTCCTTCTTCTCTTTCCTCTTCTCTTCTTTTTCCTGTCCTCCTCCTCCTTCTAAATACCTTCTAGTTTCTCAGCACTGTTTGGACCCTGTGCAATAGGCTGCCTCCCTTTCTGAAGTTTTTAGGCCTGTGAGTTGTGCTTCCCAGAGAAGGACTCCAGTTCTTTCCACACTTTTTTTCCACTTATGTTCAGCTGAACTGAACTGAAGCTACAGTTACTGATGCTTCCAAAGCCCCTGCCTTTTCAGTGGCCCAATGAACAGTATAAGTCTTCTGGCTTTGGTTTAATCTCTACGATCTTTTTTTTTCCCCCTTCTACTTTGTACTTTCCAGTTTTTTGATAACATCATGCTATTTCAATGAGATATGTTATGAGATATCCTTGAAAGAAACCTCTCAAGTTAGAAGCACTCCTAATGCAAACTCTTATGGAAAATGATATCCACTCTTCTCAGCCAAGGACTCTATGCTTTTTGCAGAAATATAGGCTGCACATATTTACCAAGGGAGATCATAAAATTAGCAAACTCTACTCAATGCCTTTTGATTTACAACTCCTATTTGTGCTGGTTTTTTTTATGGGGGGGGGCAATGCATAGGGTCTCACTATGTAGTACAGACTGGCCTCACATTCACTGAGATCCTCCCGTCTCAGTCTCCCAATTTCTGGGATTATAGGCATGTCCTAACATGCCAAGCTTAGGTATATATTCATTATATACAATTTAGAAAGAAATATGACCAATATAAATGAAGGAAAAAGTTTTTAAATGGTTGTTGATATCACCATAGGCTCATGCTTTAGGACAGCCCTCCCTTTGCCCAAACCTTCCTTGAAGCACTTGCACTAGATATCCTACAAGACCTTAGCTATAGACTGTGGACAAAGCTCTCTTTGTTTCTCACCAAAGGTAGCATCTTTCTCTTTTTTGGTACCAGGGATCAAACTTGGGACCTTGTGCTTGCGAGGCAGGAAGCGACACCACTGAGCTAAATCCCTGGCCCAGCATCTTTCTTTTAGAATCTAAGACTGGTTGGAGAATCAAGTAAACACATCCTGATTTTGGTTGATTTTAAAGCATGGATGGTAATATATGGCTATTGCTTGTCATGTTATTTTAATAGGTAAGAGAGTAAAAAGTTAATTTAACCAGTCTGTGTCCCTAGATCCCCTTCTCATTTATTTGAATTTGTCCCTCTCACAGTGACTGGATAAGAAACAGGAGATAGCCATGGACAAGAAGTGAGCTAGAAAGAGATCCACTGAGAAGTTTAAACTCAGGACAGAAGAACAGTGGTGCCACACCCTACAGTGAGAAGCCGGGCTCAGCTTTAGTTGCACTCAGAAATAGCTAGCTCTGAAAGTGTCTGCTGGCGGTAAGTAACTTTAATGCCCTTGCCCTGCTCCCTACATCCAGCACAGATCTGAGGTCTGAACCAACTTGAGCAAGGACATATCTCAGCATAGATATTGCCACAGCCTAAGTTACACAGAAGGGCTTCTGAAATAGGGGGTGTGCTTCACAAACTGACAGGCCATAATACTGCTGGAAAAACCAAGACTTGCTAGACTCCAAAATTGTGGATCCTAGAAGGAAATCACTCACTCAAAAAATCTGTTTCTCTTTTCTTGGATTCCTTTTATTACTCATTTTTCTTTCTTTATTCCTTTTAATGTCTTCTATTTTTTTCTTCATATTATTTTTTCTCCTTTTCTTATTTTTATCTTCCATTTATCATTTTTTTCTCTTACCTTTATCTAATTCTATAAATCTACTCTAATAGCATCTTTTATGTCAGTTTTTTCTCCTTCCCATCTCCCATTGTTCAATTTTTCAAATTTTATATTTTCACTCTCCCATTTCCCAGTATCCTATATCTTAAATAGCATAACCATTAAGCTTTCTTAATCTTTACATAGTTAACTCTGTGTTACTACTATTGAGTCATTTTCTTTCACTAGTGGAAGTACAGTTATCACATTTAGAAAAAGATTAAAATATTGATATTTGCAGTATGTCAAATTTAGTTTGTCTTAGGATTTAAACTATAATTGTAGAATTCTAAGGTTATGAGTGTTATATTATTATTATTATTATTATCATTATTATTATTATTTTTGTACCAGGGATTGAACTTGGAACCTTGCACTTGTGAGGCAGGTGGTGGAACCACTGAACTAAATCCCCAGCCCCAGTTTATCTTGGACAATTGCTGATTTACTTGATATTTTCCGGATTTCAGGGATGTTGCTATTAACAGATTTTCTCTGTATGCCAATACCTGGATAACTTTTGTGACATTAACAATTCTGTGGTTCATCCCTGGAGAAATGGATGCTAGGTCAACTAATTACATCCCTGCCCTCATATTAATTAGAGGTAATTAGATCTTTGGACACAGGTAAAGGTAGCCACACCCTGAATGTATCACTGAAAAGTAGACTAAAGAGATCTCCATACTATCAACAAGGTCTCTCCACTGTGACGAAATATGTACACACAAAATAAAACAAATAAACAAAAATAGAAACATAAGAAGACAGGGCAATAAAATGCTTCCACAAATTCTCAACTCCCTCAAAGACGATCAATGGGCTATTGAAGGGAAGGAAAGCAAAAGCCACACGGGTGAATTTTTCAAAAGTATAACAGAGGAAGCAAAAACAAAACAAAAACAGATTACTTAAAGTGCTTTGTTGGCTCACAGAAAATATAAGTAATCAGATAATGGAGAAAAAAACAAAGACACTAATACAAAGGTCGCTGAGGTAAACAAAATGACACAAAACGTGAATAACCAGTTTAGCCAAGAAAAGTCCCTGAAAAGATTCCAAACAGAAACTAGGAGATTAAAAATTATATGAAAGTATGAACAGCAGAAGTGACTAATGTGAGAAGAAACTGTCAAAATTAGAAGATAAGGATGTTTTCAAAGACCACTCAGAGGTACCTTAAAGACAAGAGAACATGAAAAATAGATTCAACAGCTACTACATGATGCAAGGAAGACTAATCTAAAATTAATTGGAAATCAATGAACAATCAGAAACAGCACAAATGACATTAAAAAAGTATACAAAAATAATAGTGTAAAACTTTCAAAATACTTGGAAAGAAATAAGCATACAGATAAGTGAGGCATAAAGAACCCCAAATAGCCTGTCTCAAAAAAGAACCTCTCCACATCACATCATAGTCAAAATCCCCGAAGTCTAGCACAAGTACAAAATCTTAAAATCTGTAAGAGAAAAACAATGACTCACTTAAAAATGTAATCCTATTAGAATTAAAGTAGACCTCTCAACATAAATCTTAAAGACCACAAGAGCTTGGAGTAAAGTATTGCAAGCCCTAAAAGATAACTTTCAACCCAGATTATATGTCCTGAAAATTTTTCTTTCAAAATTGATGAAGAAATAAGGTACAGTGGTACCTCCGTTTATGAACTTATGAGTTCATTCCATGATTCTGGGAAAGATGGCTACATTTATATTCACGTGGGAAAGATGGCTGCAGTTGTGTTTGTCACCCAATGCAGAGTTTTAGAATGGAAGCAAAACTTTATTGAATGCTTCTGTTTTTGAACGGAATTGTATGTGAACTGAAGCATTTGTGAACTGAGGTATTACTCTATTTCTATGACAAAGAGCACCTTAAGAAATTCATGATCACCAAATAAGAACTATAAAGAATATCCTAGAATGAGGCAATGAAGCTCCAATGCCAATACTTTTCACACTCTTTAATGAAACTGAAAGGGAAAGAGTAGTCCCAAAGTCATATAAGCTAACATTACCCTGAATCCAAAACCAGACAAGGATCCAACCAAAAAAGAGAACTGCAGCCCAATTTCTTTAATGAACATAGATACAAAAATTCTCAACAAGATACTGGCAAATAGGGTGCAACAAATCATCAAAAACATCATGGGGCTGGAGATTTAGCTCAGTGGTTCTGCTACCTGCCTTGCAAGTGCAAGGACCCAAGTTCGATCCCCAGTACCAAAAAAAAAAAAAAAAAAAA